TGGTGAATAGACTACTTGTTGTAGAGGGAGACAGGCATTTAATGCATGACAATGGTCTGTGCCATAACTAGGTCGACTACAGACAAGTTAATAGTGAGCACATTTTTAGATTCCTAGTACGTACCTATTTTTACAATATACATTGCTTAGTAGTAGAAGATGTAACGTCAATTGACTATAAGCAAATTACACATTGAATAAAGCACTTTTAACAATTTGAAACGCGAAATATTAGTGTAAACATTAATTTATTATTATTTTTGAAAAAGAAGGGTTAGAGTATAATGCCCCTCCGTATAACTTCTAATTACGATCTGCTGTCGACCTTTTCTCTAAATTATATGTGCAAAGTTAAATTATAAATCTATTAAAATACATAGCTTAAGATAAGACGAGTGAATGTTTTTATATTAACATATTAATAAATTTAAATACACACAGCGATTTAAATAGATTTTTAATATTGTATGATACCAACAACACATTTCACATTCACATACACATTTCACATTCACACACATTTCACATGTAAACAATAATAAAGTTTTTAAATGTATAATATTATTTACATTCATGTAGCCTTGTCAACCTACATGTGGACGACATCGGTGTGTATAACGAGTAACTACTTCCTTGTGCCTTTTGAATAAAAAGCAGCGCATTTAAAACCACCTATCTTCACTCTCATTGTTCTGTGCCGTGTATTCTCGTATGTACACCGAAAGTGGGGAACTATTGTATTAAGCTTAGACTGTGAAAGCTTTTAGGTGGATTTCAGTTTAGCTATAATTGCTTTTTATGATAGAGGTGGACAGATGCGTATGCGGTTTATTTGATGGGATATTGGAAACCGAAACGCGATTAAACTTCACGACTTTGTTCACGATGGTTCGTGAACAGAATGGAATTTTCGTATTTCTACTACTCATTTAATTTCTTTTTTTTTTAACTGATGGTGTGAATGCCTAATGCACGCCCACGTCGGGCAAGTGACATGGGGAGTGTGGTAAATGTTATAGCCGACCGAAACCGCTAAACACACCACCAGCCCTCTACGGTGCTTTAAGGGAGCCCTACTCATTTAATTTGTAGATTTCCAGAAAAATTATAAACTCTTTTTTATTATATTAAAATTGGAATTTTGTCAGACCAGGAGGGGATCGAACCCTTGTCCCGTTGATTATAAGCCATACGTCTTAGGTAAAAAAATGTATAATAATTTGTTTCAATACTGTCCCATATCAGGGTAAGCACAGCCAATCAAGCCCCACTCGTCCAAAGTGCCAAAGATACTGATTTTTGGGCATTTTTGTCAAAAATTAAAAACTACTAATACTGTATTTCAACTGTACTATATTTCAACACGAGGTTCGAGCCCGAAGCGTCGCGACCTGCATTGAGTTTATTAACCACAGGACCACCAAGGCATGTACCACTTAAAAGAAAAACACGTTAGCAATGAAACAAAGACGTCAGTAATTTATACTTACGTACTCGTATAACACTCTTTGTTTGTTTCTTCCAAGTTCTAAAAGAGTTTTTGTTTGTTGTATGTGAGAGCTTAACTTTTATTGCTTTTATGAAATTCATGAATGTATGCTTATGTACGTGTAATAGCAAAATGAAGAAATATAATGTATTTTATTTTCATACAAATTAAGGTGCAAGTAGTTAAAAATCTTTTTTTTTTTTTTCTCAAATATACAACGCATGTTCGCATAGCGCAATAAAGGAACCATGTACAAATAGTATATATTCTACTACTAACAAGATGCTTTACTAAATACGTCAGCGAAATAAAATGAGACTGGAACGCGAAGCATGTGACTAAATTTCCAATTCTATGGGAACAATTGAATCGTCTGCGTTCTTGTCGTGATGCATTCATTGCAACCTCTCTCACGTCCGGAACGTGACCTTAGCAGTCTATAGAACAATATAGTCCGACACAGAATACTTTCAATTTAAAACTTTAGTAAAATATACAATTTCCTATTTTATGTGTTCCGGCTCGAAGGACCATACCGTATCGGTAGGTGAAACGTAAAACAAAGAGAAACATTGTTATACAGTTTCTATTATATACTCTGTATTTAAATATAGAACAATGTATTTAAACCGTTGATAAACCATAGCTTATATTTGTTGAGTTACTGCATTTTAACGTACTGTGGTTATACGTGCTGTAACGAACCACGTGGCACCTCGTTGGTGACCCTTTATCGGCTGCCTCTTAGTTTAATGGTCCTTTAAGTGCCGGGTTTGTGATGTGCTTGGAGATACTAATGTTTATCACGTATTTGTAAATGTCTATAGTTTAAATAAAAGACTTTAACGGTTTAAAACTCGATATATTAGTTAAACTTATTTGAAAATGATTTTTAACTTCGGCCCGACGTTTCGGATGCTTTGCAGCAGCTGTGGTCACGGGGAGACTCATTTTCAAATAAGTTTAACTAATATATCGCGTTTTAAACCGTTAAAGTCTTTTATTTAAATGTGTACTACTCGCGTAAACTATAGACAGTATCTAATGTCTATAGTATTTTCTTACCTATAAACGCTATTTAAATTAAACAGTAAATAATAAAATACCAGTTTCGGAGAGCTTCAAATGTCAAAGGGCGTTCTAAGAATGGAACGGTTTTCACTTAAGAGTCGTATTTTTATTTGTTTTTTTCTGAGAGCTTGGATTAAAAACAAACTGTCTCCTTAAGTTTACATAACTAAACTATTTGATAAATAGTTTTACACAACCGATCGTTATCTATAGTAATATCATGTATGGTTTCTTACATGTTTCATATAATAATCATTGAAAGCTATTTAAAGTTTTATAACTGTCTCTTTAACTTTTAAATTGGTATGTCGCAGAAAGTGTCAACTTTTAGATGTACATAAAGTGAGTTAAACACTGCCGCAGACATCGTCGCACCGTCTTTGAAACAAGTTGAAATCGTCAATTTCTATCGTTCGATGTAGTTGTTAATAAAATAAATAAATGCCTACTTGGTGTAATGATAGCAAAGTATCGCTAATAATAAATCTAACGGGTCCAAAATGCTTCTTATCAATTTTAATTTTGGTGTATTGGGTTATCCTTAAAACACCGTCCACAGATACCACCGTCTACAGAGTACCGCGAAGTTTAAGTGCGTTTTGATTTCAGCGTGTTGATTGCTAAATGTCCAACTTCATTAGATATTACGACTACGTCTGTAGCTATATGGTTAGACGTGTTGACTAGACAATAGATTTAAATAAAACACTTTAACGTGACACCGTCTCCCCGTGACCACGTCAAAGCATCCGAAACGTCGGGCCGAAGTTAAAAATCATTTTCAATAAGTTTAACTAATATATCGCGTTTTAAACCGTTAAAGTGTTTTATTTAAATGTGTACTACTCCCCGTGACCACGGCTGCTGCAAAGCATCCGAAACGTCGGGCCGAAGTTAAAAATCATTTTCAAATAAGTTTAACTAATATATCGCGTTTTAAACCGTTAAAGTGTTTTATTTAAATATTAACCGTTTATTGCTACGATTACACCCACGAGCCCGTCACCTTCCAACGACAAGTAAACCCCAATATTATTACCAATAGTACCTTTCTACAGTAGATATACAATGATAGAGCCACTAAAGTCTACAAATCACGGATACAGACAATGCTAGCAGCATTTACGCTTGCCTTGAATTATCTAACTATTGATTCGGTCGTACTGTTAAAGGCTTTTATCGATTTAATTTTTAGCTTTTAGCTGAAAGAAACCTCCTGCTGTCATGCTTATTGGCGTGAAGGGCTTTGAAAAGGGTTTTTAAACCTTTTTAAGCTAAGAGCTTTGAAAAGCATTTAAGATAGCAGATAATAATCACCGGGCCGTGGTTTGATTCTCAACTGGTCCAAATCTTTATAGATCATATTAAAACCTTAAAAATCAATGAATTATGGTTTTCTATTGACATACGATTTTTAATTTACCATCATGTTTAATAAGATGTGAAAAATATAGTTTTCAAACATATTAAAACCTTGTTTATGAAATCTGCACATTTAGACTACAAACTTCGCGTTTGGTTTTTAGTCTGTGGGCCTTCGAATGTTCAAAGCCAATAAGCCGACAATGCTCCGCAGTTGTTTTAGGGACCTTTCAAGTAAACTATACAAACATGACTGTTGTAACATTAGCGAGGTATTCAAAGGCAAGTTAAATATGAAGCAATCAAAACATATAGGTGTTCATATAAGAAAAGCATTAAAACACACTTTTCTTATATTTTAAACATTATTTTGCCATTAGAAGTACTTTGACGAAATTTTGATAGACATAAAAATGTTTCTTTCGAGTTAATCTTAGAAGATAGACATATAGTCTCGCGGATACTATTTTAGATTATTAAAAGAGAATAATCTTAATACATATTTTTGGGTATCCGTTTTCAAACCCAGTAACGGAAATACTCAAAGAATGAATAATTTTCTTATTTTTTTACATTCTTCCCAATGTCCTTTCGCTTTTTGTCAGTTTATGTTTTATCATCAAAATCTCCCTCGGTAAATGCTCTAACCCACACTAATATAATAATTGAACTAGTAGTTTCTGAATTAGCGCATTCAAAGGAATCATTAAAAAACACAATCTTTTGTAAATTAATTTAAAATTTACTGGCTTTGAAGCCGTTTGTCGAATCCATTATCGATTTTAACAATATTTCTATTAATGCTGTCTATTTTTTCATTACATTTAAATAAGACATTTAGTTAAACTTATTTGAAAATTATTTTTAACCTCGGCCCGACGTTTCGGATGCTTTGCAGCAGCCGTGGTGGGGGAGACTGACCCCGTGGCAACATGCCATAATTCTCATATCACTGTCTTTCGGCTTTGGGACGTAAGGAAAAATGAGAACCTCTTTTCGCTAATACGAGCGATCATCAGATGTTGTTAGCTCCTCGATTGCCCGTGCATTTGAATTATTATACTTAGTTTAAGCTTACCATTCGCTCTAGGTCTTTCGCACACGAAGTAATTGTGTTCCCTGCAGCTCCTGTCATTCCACATAAAAGTGGGGTGGGCAGGTCTCGGAGGCATAGCTCTTCGTACCTCCACACAGTCTTGTCCAGACGTACCATCGTCGTTGGGTTGACTTGAGTGTTTGCGCCAACCAGGGAACCAATCTGTTGTATAAATAAATATTTTAGTAGATTACACACATAATATATTAGTTGTATGGTTAAAAGCAACGTATTCTTTGGTTTGATTCCCGGGGGAGAGAAAGGACTGGATTCTAACAAGCATGTAAAACTCGATCAAGGCAAAGCTACTTAGAAATTGTCCAACGGTTGTTTATTATATCACAGTATTCATGTTTAATTGTATGGTTGTTTAATTATATTACACACACAGTTTTATTAGACAGATAAGTTGTTGCATTGTTAAAAGCAATTAATTTTTGGTTTGATTCCTTATTTGTTTATAATTTTTTTACAATCTTACATCGGTTTTTAATATAAATATGTAAAACTCAGAGTAAACGTAGAAATATATCCGACTACTAGTTATCTTGTGACCTCGGGATTCGTTCCCAAGACCTCTTTGGACTTAACCAGGTAATACCAGGTATGATTATAGTTTACGCGAGTAGTACACATTTAAATAAAACTAAAATATGTACTACACGGAGAGTCTCCCCGTGACCACGGCTGCTGCAAAGCATACGAAACGTCGGGCCGAAGTTAAAAATCATTTTCTAATAAGTTTAATTAATATAAACCGTTAATGTGTTTCATTTAAATAGATAATACGTGTATAACCATTGCGCCGAGAGCAGCAGTCAAAGGGCTAATATTGTTTAGTCGAAATTAAATAAAAGCCTTTCACGGTAAAGCTACTTATATTTTCTAACTATTCAACCATCGTAATAGAAAGTTTTGCTGAAGTTTCACCATAATTATATTCGCAAAAGTAACTAAAAAATAATATTCGATGCACTCGCTCGCTTGTGGTAATTTTTGAGTCTTTACTATTATATAATAAGTGTACCAAGTTACTTAAGTGAATTAATTTTTGACTTTAATTTATTAAAATAGCTTTACGGTTATTTGACATATTAACTATTCCAATGTTAAACCTCGGTAGCGTCACTTGCGCGAAAATTGTTAACTAAGAATGTTATATCACAACAATTTAGAATGTAGTAAGACGCAACACATAGGTTTACCGAGTGAGCTAATAATTATTATACATGTGGTTCAAAATAGTTGGAAAGTAAAGGAATGTCGCTATATTTATTTATAGTCACGTTAGAAAAGTATTGAGGTTGTGAGAAATTAAGGTGCCTTTTTACGTCCTAGGAGTCCAGACAAGAGGGGAAATATGTCAGCAACAGAACAACTCTATTCGCTATGAATATATATTGGACAAATTAAATTCATAGACTAAAACTTTTGGGCGTTTTTATTTTACACGGGGGGCTTCTATCTGAAGTTTATCGAATCAAAAAAAAAACAGCCTTTAATCGTTGAATGAAAAAATGCGATGAACTTTGGACATTATTATTTCCCGGGGAAGTAAAAAAGCATTTAGTAATTGGTTAACATCCAAGCGCTTTTATACTAATTGATATTTGTCAATTAAGAAGTTAGTGTTAATTTCCATTTATGTTCGTAGAAAGTCACAAGTTAAAACTTCATAGTTACGTTAAAATCTATCCTAAGAACTATGTTTATGGACAATCTTTATGGGACACAGTAAACTTTTAATTAAGATTAAATATCCATTTAGAATGTAAAAAAAACGACACGGGCAGAACTTGAACCTTGAACATTTCCGTACATGAATTGCTAAATGTCTTAAGGACGGACGCGTTTAAAGTCCCGAGGAAAAGCTAAATTAATTGGTGCAAATAAAGCAATTTTAACGGTTCAAAACGCGAAATGTATTAGTTAACTTGTTTACCATTTATTTTAAATAAGTTTGTTAAGACGTCCGAAGCGCGTTTTTAACGGTTTAAAAGGTACATTTCGCGTAAAATATAATCAGAGTAAAGTACAGGCTTAATTCGGTCAGACAAGGCACAGAAATCTGACCCAATTGTCTATGAACAAAATCGATCAGCGAAACAGATACAGCAATTAGCCCCATACCCCACGAGTAATCTGGATTACACTACAGAAACTAGAATGTCCGACACATTTCTGAAGCTGCCAGCGCTACGGTGCCCACACAGTGTTAGACTGATTATTCCGTGTCACTTATCATAATCTAGATCCGGGGAAAGCTATTTCGGAATGTAAACAGCTAATTTCCATTTAAAATGAAATAATGTTCGAATAACGCTTTGCCTGGCCATTGTTGAGCATAATTACGGTTTTCCATTGTTTAATAATACATCGCTTAGATTAATTATCAATTAGTAAATACAATATTTAAGTAAGTGTATTTTATTATCAAATCATTTATCCTACATATAAACAAACAAAATTGTATGTGTAGGGACGCAATTCAACTGTTTTGTTCCTCACAAGTAAGCCCAACGGCGATATTCAGTGTAGACATTTGAAGCTGGTGAGATATGTGTAAAATGTGTGAAATAGTGGTAAAAGTGGAAAATTAGTAATGTCTGTGGGTTGCCGATGTGTACGCTGTGAAAATGGTTTGAGAAAACCAAAATAATATGTATAAAGAATGATTTTCTTTGAAATTATCTAAAAAAAGGTACGCGACACTATATGCCTATCATTTAAGATTATTTTGCAAGAACGACGGGAAGCGTCCGACGTCATGGGTAAGCTAAGTTTATAAAGATGAGGCCCGATATAGTTATTCTACGCGGACGAAGTCGCTAACACAGTTAGTTAGATGTACAATGTAAAATGTTAAAAAAAAAAAAATGTTCTATTTTTTATAGGTATTCGATGGCGTGATTATAATGTTTAAAAAAATAAGTAATGAATCTAATTGGTGTATTTTGATTATTTTTTTATGGTTTGTAAAATTCGTATGACGAAACCAACCTTTTCTTCCGAAAACTTCTAATAACTTTAAAGTCTAGACTAAACTTTACGTATTAATTGTGCCTTATAGCTGTATAATTTAATTGTTACCAGACATAGTATAATACTATAATATGACCTCGTAAAACTTTAATCGCTGATAAACGTTCACTACTTACTGCAAAAATCTTTTTCGTATTTGAAAACTCTAAAGCTTAATTTCTCGAACGGAATTATAAATTTAATTTATGTAATTATATAAAACGGGCTTGAATAAGTGCGTACGTGCTTTATAGTCATGTCAAGTTTTATTTATTTACTGAAATTTCTTTGTCATCATATACATCATATTTAGTACTAGCTGTGTAAGCGACTTCGTCCGCGTAGAATAAGTCGCGTTCTTTAAAGATAGACATATAGCGTCGTGGACTTTTTTTAGATCATTTAAAGAGAGATTCTCTCGTACATATTTTTTAGGTATATTGATCCGTTTTTGTAGCGTACGCCACGGAAACCCATAATGATTATTAATTTTCCAAAAACAGTCACGAATCATTTATTCACATAATAAATAAATATAAATGTACCTTTACTACCAGTTCTCAAATCAAGAGCGTCAAACGAACGATAAGAACTGGCAAGGAACTCGCCGCCTCTCCTTTTATCGCCAAGTTTCATTTACTAATTTTACCGGGGAGGACCCCGGTAAAATTAGTAAATAGAAAAAAAGCCCCAAGCATTTTTGTTGTTTACATATGGATTAACGTGGTAATAACCCTTTCCAGGTAGTTTTTGTTTTACATACGATTGAAATTTATTTATTGATAGTGCCTGCATTTTGTTCGGGATTGAATAAAAAAACTCATATGCCTTTAAATTTAATTAGCTTTAGTACTAAACAACTATTATCCTATTTAATAAGACTGTACATATAGCTAGTTCAACTCATTCTTCGCGCTTTCAAAAGCTCTCGCAGAGCGACGCCTGCTTGGCGAGAACTCGCCGTGAGACGACAAGTTTTTTTTTTTCGCGGCTTTGTTATGCTGGCATGCTGCATAATACCCCAGCGACTAACGGTACTCACTTTTCGTTGTTTGTCAAGTATATATATTAAATACTGTCTACAGTTTAGTGTAGTACGCATACCGCGAGTAGTACGCATTTCAATAAAACACTTCAACGGGTATAATATTACTTAAACTTATTTTAACTAAGGCCCGACGCATCCGACAGACATACTGTTGCAAATCATCCGCAACATAGTTAAAATAATTTTGACTAATATATTAAGTGTATAAACCGTTAAAGTGTTTTATTTTAATAAGTATATATATATGTTTTATAGTGCTTTTAGTTTTTATCTCTTTTTTTATAATTTTCATCTATAGTCTTTAACCAGCTTAAGGGAGACGGGGTCTCCCCTTTCTCGGTAGGAAGAGACTGGTCAGCTTATTCGTAATTAAAATGCTTAACTTAAGTTATTACGTCTATATCATATTGTACTTGACTGCTTTTATTAGCTAACAGAAGCACGTTTTCAGCGTTAGGAGAACTTCAATACTTACGCGCGTATGAAAATGGAAGTCCATCCGACCATCGAAATTCTCCTTCGTGCAACGTGTCTGTTGCTCCGATCCAATACACGTCACCTTCAGTGCCGCCGGGTCTGAAATTGTAATATCTGGTTTAGACATTAAGGCTTTTCAGACGATCCTATGATAAATATGAACATTATAGCGCAAAAATGAAGTAAAAAATGTAATATAAAACTAATACATTAATATAGCATAGTCTGAAAATAGATTTAAAGTTTTAAAATTTACATTCTTGATTTATTTATTTAAAAGGTTAATTTTTCCTTTGACAGGTTATTAAGATTAATTATTTAATTTGCTAAATAAAGAAGTCACCTGGACAACACTGTTAATGTATAGTATTGAAAAATATTTACTATTTATAATAATTTAGAGCTAAAATATAATAAATATAAACACAACACAAATAAGTTTTGTATAATGATTGGTAATATCTATGATTTTTTCAAACGAACTTCACGATATAATCTAGACAAAAAAAATCGGCATTTCCATTGTATAATTGAATTTTTCACTCCGTTGAAAGTCAATATTTTAACTGATAAAGCCTTTGAGAACCGTTTGCAAAATAAACTGATTCGTCGCTTTAAAACTTGATTGATTCGTCATCCATTCTGTATAAATGATAATAAAAAATATACAGTTTGTAGGTTACGTGAGGATGTATATATATTTACTTACGTATGAGTTAACATTTGATCCAAGATTTTCTGTTGATGTTCGTTTGATAAGCTAGTTAAATGGCCTCTTAGCTTGACGCATTCAGCTTCAGACTGCCTCCAGGATTTCTTTATTTCCCTCACTGCTGTAATACAGAAGTCTCCAGACGCCAACCATCCATAATCGCAGTTCCCGACTATATCTTCGACTGGTTTATCCATCCACCATACCTTTAGCCACATGTTTGAAGAATTTCTTTTGCCTAGTATAGTTACGTTGAGCCTTATAGAATTTCCCTCAGAAATAATCTGAACGCTGCGAAGAGGATCACCCGGTTGGGAACAATGTTTCCATCTCGATTCGCCGTCTTGCAAGCTTAGTTGCATTCCCTTACATAGTTGGGACTCTTCGTGAATGATCTTCGAGTCGTGGGCTGTTTTTGTACCCATTTGGAGCCGTAACGCGACTTTGTTCCCATAAGGCAGATGAATGTTATAGGAGCACTGTAATTTATCAGCTGGGCCGACGTCGAACGAGCCGTTCCTCCCCGTTATAAGGACATCATGGCAGTGATCCACTAAACGGTAGATCGCGGCGAACATGGGTCGACCGTGGAGTTCCACCTCAGGTTTCCTGGACGAAGACTGATAAAGAAATTTCCTCGATCTGATCGGTATCTGTTCGAGTTTTCCACATATCGTTGGAGAAGTCGGGGTGAATCTAAGGTAGCCAGATGAGCATGGCACGTTGAGCTTATGCAATTCTATGAGGAGAGCGTTCCTCGGAGAGGGTTGGGGGAAGATAAGGCGGCACCCATGTGTGTGAGGCAGGTGGCCGGAGTGGATGCGCCCGGAATGTCCACTACGAATACTTATAGCACAATCTGGAACAAAATAATTTATATTAAATATTAATTTAATTTGTACACGTTAAGTTTCACATTTTATTTTAATCGTTATTTAAATGTCACGATTATTAATACTACGTTAACAATTGTGCAAGAAATAATTACTTAAGTTTATAGAGTCGAAGACAGAAGTATAAATTGTAGGTGGGAATATTTTGGGAATTGTATGTCTGAATTATACGTTGTGTTATAGATAACAATGTTATCGAACTATTTAGATGATATAATACATACAAAGCCTTCATTTATATATAAAATTGTTCAAAAAGCTTTATTTTAAAAGAACGTAACGTTATTGGGGGTGTAGGCCTTCCCCAAAGTGACCCATGTTTCTCAGTTTTGGCCACTTTGTGCCCATTGTGAGCCAGGTCAATCGCTTATAAGTCACTGTCCTATCGTGTTCGTGCATAAGGAGAGTCTTGCAAACAAATAACAACAACAAAATAACACGAAAAGATCGATAAAGATCTTTGAATAAGTTAAATAATAAATTATTTGTCTTACACATAAAACATTTAAGTTAGTTTTTTCTTTCCTTTAATATACAGGGTTATTCCTACTTCATGCGAAACCTGAAAGTAGTTTGTTCAGAATCAGTAGCAGAATCCATTCCAATAGTTTTTATACCACGTTATATATATATTTTTTTAATTATATGAAATTTTTGAAATCCTGGACACCGTTTGATAATAATTAAAACATGTATAATCTAGATCAAAACGAGTAACCGCTAACTTAAAACTAATTGTCGTTCTCACAACTCAAGTCAAGCGCCAAGTACCGCAATACAAACTCGTAAATACGAGTGAAATATCCTTGGAACTCATAAGTTGTCGACGCGACGTTTTGAATATGAAAACAAGACAAATTTCCGCCATTAGGATAACTCGAAATGCGAAAGCGAATTACAATTTCGCATAATGGAAAATTTACATCAGATCTCATTAAATTGCGACGTTTTTCACCATTAAACCGGGGACGTTGTTCTACGTTATCATTTATTGGAGTGCTGTCGTCATTTAAATAAATACCACTTCCCCTTTTTGGGGTATGGGGCAGACATTTACTTCGAAACGTCGGGCGGTAGTTAAAATAAATTTCAAACAAGTTTAACTAATATATATCGCGGTTCAAACCGTTAAAGTGTTTTATTTAAACACATTTATTCCTGTTTTAATCGGCTTTGTTAACAGACTAGTAGATAAACTTCTATACTTGGTCTGAACGATACTTGTGATTTGAATGCAGGACCTCACACTCTCAAAGCAATCTAGATTATGAGCAAAGTATTTAACCAATAAAAGCATTAAATAAAGCTAACTCCGGATTAACATTGCGGATTGTAATTTACGTACGAATATTACAAATTATGTCTGTTTTTCACGAATAGTATACATTTAAATAAAACACTTTCAACGGTTAAAAACATGAAATCTATTAGGTAATTACAATATACTCATAACTAATTTTCACTCAGTTAACTAATATATTTCGTGTTTTAAACCGTTATAAGTGTGCTATTTACATTTCGAAATATTTCTAAATAATGAAATTGGGAAAAGATTGTGAAAGAAAGGGTTCGAGAACCTTTTTGGATAATTTTAATAAGCACTTTATTTTAATTAATTAATAATCAATTAAAATAATAATAATACAATAATTAAACTACGTGATAGTTAGATCCTAGCTTATATAACACATTATGGCATATATTAAAGTTTCGTTTCTTAATTATGTTTTACAAAACTTAGTTCATCATTAACATTATTATAAATTTCTTAGCTCATACAAATTTAAAATTATTCTTGACCGTTGTTAAATGTCGTTGGGCACATTAGCTGAACTAATAGAGTAAAGGTACGGATCCCTCTGTTCTAGAAATATTCAGAAACTAACTATACTCGACTGAGAAGAAGAGAATTTGTTTCATTACTACTTTTACTAAAACCACTTTATGTCTTAAGACCGCCTCTATAGGCCCACGGAGGGAAACGGGATTTTCTTTTTTAAACGCGAAATATATTAAACTTATCTTGTTATACAATTTATTTACCACAAAAAGATATATTTGTACATTTATATAAAAATCGCCAAACTGCTGGGCAATTTGTTGGCGATAGTGGCGCTCTTATTCTGACAATAAATTTTCACTTATTAAGTAGGTAGGTACATAATATTTTTTACCTATGGATGTTATGTTAGGTATCATTATATAATACTGTTTTTAAACAATTAATTTATTTTTTATTAAATATGACTATTTTATATGTTAACTAGTAACTTATGTATACATTTTTATTATTAGTAACTTTATTTATAAATTATAGTGACTTATATATGAATATTTTATTTATTTACAACAAGTAATGTTTCAGCCTCTTATTTATATATATTTATATTTAGCGTATCTGTTTATGATTCACTCTTTTAAATGTTTATTGATCTTTTAAACCTTATTTTACTAAGACTGAGAGAAATGCATATGGCTTCGGGCGAAGTAACAGAAGACGATATCAAAGAATTAAAGATGGAACAAATAGTAAGATTATGTAAGCAAACCAGAATGTTTCAAAGGGACCCGGTGAGAGTTGGATAACCTAAAAACCTCTCTACAAGGAGGAGATGGGAAAATGGGTGAAATGGTCAGCAGATGGAAAAGAATAATAAACCTTATTTTCCCCCGTGACTACGAACGACTGTTGCAAAGCATCCGAAACATCGACCGTTACATTCCTTATATTCACATACAAATTTAATATGAAACGAATGTTCGGTTGGAATCCGGTTTCGGTTAAGAACCATCCCTAATAGGAAGGTTTAACTAGAGGATCTAATTTGTATTCCCCTTGTGACGTCGAGCTGTCTATTTTGTATTAGCATCGTCCGTAGCGGGAGTTTAAAAATACACTCGCAATCTTTGAGTTTGAAGCGTTGAAATAGCACGAAGGGTTGTTCTGCATCTAAAATGTATGAAGACCTCCCTTTACGACCAAGGAATTACTGTCTCAAGGTTGGAAAACCGACTGCTTTTAAAAAAAGATTCTTTGTGACTCTGGGTGTTCTTTTATTGACACTTGTTTTATCTGTCTTTTTAGGCTTCTTTCGTAAAGGAAACAATAAAACCGAAAACATATTAAACTAGGTACACTTATGAACGTCACACCAGTTACGAACTAAACTCTATTCGTAAATTTACATATACTAGCAGTTCTTAAATCAAGGCCATAGAACGAACGAGAAGAATTGACAAGAAACTCGCCGCCACTCCTTTTATCGCCAAATTTTATTTTACAGTCTTCACGTAATCCTAAAAAAATATGTACTGCACGTGGCACTACATATTTTTTTTTGTGACAGACAACATCAATGATATAATATTCTCGACTATTTTATATTATAATGAAAAAAGTAACAATAAAACTGGTGTACATATTTTGCTGTTTATTTAGTAACCCGTGCCAAAATCCGAATCAACTTGAGCGGTTCTTAAGTATGTATATGATTTTATAATAATTATCTTTGTTTATTTTTGCGTTCTTCTCATTACTTTAATTAATTTTTAAAAGTAGCTACAGTCCTGTAACATTTATTAAACTATTTTAAAAATAAACATTACTAATAATAAATCGTATTGTTATAAAAAATCAATTAACCCAACACAAGACCACAGTTTTAAACAAAAGACCACCTTTCATAGGAAGTGTACCTAGGGTTGTATATTGCGTAATGCAATTATTTTCATATTTCTAATTATAATTATATATTAGAAATATGAAACTCAAACAAGGATATTGAGATAGTCACTAAAGAAGTCTACTCGGGTTTAAGACCTACTAGCTGTTCCAGTTAGCAGGCTATGACTCCTACCATAAGGTAGATTATAAAATCTGCATTCCAAGAATCCTTTAAGTAACTTTTTCGTCCGCTGTCATAGGAACATTTTACACATAATGTCAAAAATATACTTTTATTATTAGCCATCTTTTCCTGTAGCGTATACGCCTGTCCTCCTCTATCGAATCGGAATTTCGATATTCTCATCTACCATTTAATATCCTGATTTCCAGACGTTACAAGTTTGGTGGGTATCGAATCCTCGACCCGTTGATTATTAACCATACATCGCTACCATTTCGCCAACGAATCCGTCCGTCTTGAATTTTATGGTCTGTGGTTTTACAACGCGTAAAAATGTACTATTGGAAATACCAAGAACAGTAGCCGTCTGTTTTAGTAATCAGCAGAATCGATCCAATACGATAGTTTTGTTTTTTTGATGATTTGTGGATGTATTGAAAGCATGGTATGAAAATTCGTTTTTATTTCTTCTCCACTTCAGCATAAGTGGTCGGTTTGAAAAGCCTATTGCCAGCCCTATTTATACCTGTGTTGACCTCCAGCGTTTTTATTGGAACTATTGGCTTGAGCTCGTAAAATTTAACAACAAGCGATATGCAATGGAATAAAACGGTTTAATATGTTCGATTTTTATTGTAAGTGCATTTCCTGCACGAACACGTAATGGATATTGGTTTTGGAATTACTGCCACGCCGTGATTGGCGTTGTGGGGGGAAGGGAATTACTTCTTTGTTTGTGTTTAGTCTGTGGAGAAGCTCATAAGCTCTTATTATTGTATTTTAGAGAGATGCACATTGTAGTATAGTATATCTAAATAAAACTTTTAAAATATTTTCGGTCGAAAAAGTATAGCAAGCACAGCGGGTAAACCCTCGATCTACAACGTCCCGTGCCGTTGCTTTATCAATTGAGCAACTTGTCTGCAATAATCTACTTTTCTCAACTCTGTTATTGCCCTTCTTTCCCAAAAATAGTTTTTAACTCTATGACAATGCAAAGGCAATGCAAAATGCATACAAGCATGTATTTTCGCATGTGAAAATTATAATGATTACAATGAATGAAAACAATGGAAAGTAAAATGTAAAAGAAAAATGACGTGCATTTTTCTTTGCGACCTCCGTTTTTCAATGTCAAAGCTGATTTCTTGTGTTTTTTATAATCTATAATTCTTCTACAAAAGTATTGCGCAATACTTAATGCTTGACAAGAATACTTGATCAGGCTGACACAACCGACGGAATCTATTTTGCTAAACCATCCCAATATATATTAAGAAAATTGTCAGTACATAGTTTACGCGATTGCTACATATTAAATAACAAAAAAATTAAATACTATCTGTAGTTTACGCGAGTAGTACACATTTAAATAAAACACTTTAACCGTTTAAAACCCAATACATATTAGTTAAACTTTCTAGAAAACGTCGGGCTGAATTTAAAAATAACTTTCAAATAAGTTTAAGTAATATATATCGCGTTTTAAACTGTTAAAGAGTTTTATTTAATGAAAAAGTTGGTTTTATTCAATTCAAATTTACAATTTTTTTTCGAGTTTACATGATCGGCTGTCTATGACCTAAAATAAATATATATAGTACATATTTCTATCTTGATGTTTGTTCTATTTTGTAAAGCAATAAGCTCACACTCCACAGAACAAACTATCCTATCCAAAGAATCTATTTCTTATTACAATATTTCTCAGACTACCCTCTGTTTATTTTGCAGTGTATATTCTAACATTTGTCAATAAACACATAAGCGTAGCTATAAAATGAAATAGATATGTATTTAATTAAGTTTTATTTTGTAACATTGTGGTGAAAATAAAGTATTTTTTGTTTTGTTTTGTTTGATATGCCCATTTAGAATCTATCTTAGCTTATAAGGACTTAATGACACGAGTGAAGCTCGAACCTACAACAATAGCGTTTTGTGATTTAATATATGATGGTTGTGATGACAAGCGGGTCACGGTAGCTTTATTAGTAGAACGACGCTCATGAACCGCTCGTGTCATATTTTCCGTAAAATACGTTTTAAAATTATAAAAGCTATCATGTACTTCTTAGGAAACGTACTAAAAATAATAATGTTGCAATTTGCATTTACCAAAAATAAACAGTTGTTTTTAATTTAGGTGATTTATTTTGTTCTGAATTTATTAATAAAATCTGCTTAATTCAAATAATAATTTAAGAAGGGGTAATGAAAAAACTTAATTAAGTAATATTAATTAGTTCCCTTCAAAATCTCTGGTCACTGTGTAGTTTGCTTTGTCTTCAATCTTGATTTGATTGCAAACTCACCATCCAATTTGTGCTTCAAAGCAATTAGACCACTTCAGGAACAAAGTCTACGAATAGATAGATTCAAAATGGCACTTATAGGTGAAACATCTAGCTTTAAATAGACAGCATAGCTTGGTTTAGTTTTTACCACAAACCTGTCGATTAATTAAAAATACACTCAATTAAAGAACTCAGTAACGTGGGACGTCCAGTCCCCTAACGTATTCTTAGAATGCTAAAAAGGGAAGAATTTCATTAAGACTTTAATGTCTGTCTGTTTGTCACCAGACCGTATCTCAATTCTCAACTGAACAACAAAACTGCAGTAGCTAGAGGGTGGATTTTTTTACAAATTATATAGTTAGTCCTGTCAGTAGTTTAAGCGAGAAGTAAAGATTTAGATTTAACACTTTTTACGGGTTCAAATGCAAAGTATATTAACTTGTGCGTCCCCCGTGACTGCTACTGCAAAGAATCTGTACTCTCGGGCCGTAGTTTACATTGATAAAGAATACGGTAACTATTATTTTGCCTTTTAAACCGGTAAAAAGTGTTTAATTTAAGTTATGTAATGCTATGTAAACAATGCGGAATAATTTTTTGAGCGGGTCTGACTTGCACTTTGCTGATGTTATTTTAGAATTTTTAATATACACATGATAACACGAATGCTGGGTGGGTGTGACCCCACATGTCATCGATTTATTCAACATAGATATTTTTTTAAATTAATAAAAGCGGTTTATTAAAACAAACATTCATATTCAACCAATATATAATATATCAACATTTTAAATTGTTATTGACAAAAACAATTAAAGCTGGTGAGAAATTAAAACAAAAAAATAAAAGTAATGAATATCTCATAAATCAATTTTGTTCTATTGTATGCTTACAGAGCTATGAAATAATGTTGATATGTAGGTAATATGGCTCAAATTCACAACTCCCTAAAATTCCTACCTCAGCTTTTTAATTTGGAAGCAGCAAATGAAAAGTGCCACTTCAGCATGAAAATTAGAACAAAAACAGTGCAGCTTTTGATGGCGTGTATTTACATTTCAAAGAGGTTACAGGAATCGGTGAAAAAATAGACGCTATATGCAATACGATTTGTTGATTGATTTTTCAATTATGAATACCTCCAGGTATTGGAAAAATGCAGTATCTTTACGTGTTGGCACATTTAGCATTATACTCATTAAAATATCTCTTTTTAACTCTATTTAGTTAACAAAAATAACACAGTAATCCGTACTTCTGTTCTAAGAGATTGAGCTACCGTGTCTCACAGGTATATTTGAAGTCTTTTGCGCCATTTGAATATCAGTGAAGCGATAATATTCTTTACGTATAGTTTTGGTCATACAGGCTCTAAGTTTGACATAACACAACTACTTCTGACACTAAAAATAATCGAGCGTCAGTTTATAGAGCTGATTTTGTAATTAAGGATACAACGGACTTTTCAAACGTAACGGTGACACGATAGCTTAATTTTCGAGTTTCGAGTTTCGTGAGTAATTTTTAAAAATCTGAATATATAATAGAAAAACATGTAGATCAAAATAAAATAAATTTGATTTAGAAATCGATAATTAATTTAAAAACTTTACGACCCGGGCAGGACTTGTATCAATAGGTTGGCAAAAATCGAAGATGGCGTGTAGTACTCGGTAGCTCAATTCGTAGATTTTTTTTTCAATTTACACTCGATTATTATTTTATATAGTGCCATCATGTAGCAATAACATGTGAAAAAATATTAAAGTTGTCAAACGTTAATTGGATTTGTTAGTCGTGTACTAATAAATGCAGTTAATTTTCTCTGTTACTATTAGGCTACGACAGACACACAAATAGAACAAAAGCTAATGAAACAAAGCCACTAAATGAGAGAGACGGTTGGCTTTGTTAGTTCGACTGTTCACACTCATCAGTCAATTGAGAAGTTGGCACAATAATACCTCTTAGATATTTGATATATGAGTCCAATATTCTGTTGAGATAAGTGGTAACTTTAATAGGCTTAATATTATAATTGCAAGCCAAGTGCGTATCGGAATTGAGCTAGAGGGATTCCAGAGGCGGGGGAGGGGGGTAAAATACTGTTTACATAATTATTTTCCTCTAGTTTTATGAATTTAGTATAGAAGAACAAAATATATATATTTTTAAGTTAACGAGATACAATTTGGTGATAGAATGGATGCATAGCAGAGTCTTACATAAATTATGTTAATGGCAACAAACATAAACTATATTCGCACTGTATTCTTTAAAGGGACACAGTGAAAGTTAGATACGCCCCCAATAGGCCCAAATAGAAAATAATAATATTTTTCGCGCTGTAATTGTTATGTAATTTAAAAAGTATATAGATATAAAACATAGATATTGTGTTTTCCTTTATGAATGCTGTGGGAATGAAATAAATAATATATATCTTACCTAATCTTAATGTTTTTGTAAAGAACACTTGGTAAATGGTGGCACTCGTCGATTTTCTATAACGTAACCTGAAACAAAGTTCAACTTAAGTACATGTACAAATGGATTGAAGAAATTCGACTATTAGTGAGTTAGCAGATCAGTCAGTAGATGTTGGTTCGAATCCCTCTCGTGTGATTACATCAGTGTATATTAAATTTAAAACTACAGAGGTTCCGTTAATTAAATAATGTTCATAGATTACGCGAGTGATACATATTTAAGCACTTTAACGGCTTAAAACGCGAAATATATTAGTCAAACCTGTTTTGCTGCCGTAGCTGCTGCGACGTCGGGCCGTAGTTAAAAATAATTTGTACACGAGTTTAACCAATATTTCAGGATTAAAACCGTTGTTTTGTTCAAATAGGTTCCGTTAATTTTGAACATCGAAAAGCGACGAATTCTGAAAGTGGATGCGCAAAGCGCAATGCAGCAGAACCGAATAAGAACAAAGTTGAGTCTGAACATAGAATAGCAGTCATTCTTAAAATAGAAAATCATGCTTTTTGTACGGATTAGCCTACACTAATACGGGGCCTAGGCGGTCATAATTCTGCACCCGTTATCGAGTTTATTTACACCCAAGTAATTTATCAAACACCCAGGACTTATAACAAGGAAATAACAAGACTGTTTTATTCTAAGCTATTAAATATAAGACATACTACATACCTATATTTCAATAAAACCACGTTGAAACGGGCTGAAGTTAAAAATCATTTTCAAATAAGTTTAACTAATATATCGCGTTTTAAACCGTAATAGTGTTTTATTGAAATGTGTACTACTCGCGTAAACTGTAGATAGTATTTACTTCATGGCTTTTTTCAACTGTGAACGGTGGTTCGTGACTCACACCATACTTCCATATTCCTACCGCCCATTTAAACAGATTTCCAGACAAAGTCCAACATGTTTCAGAGTAATTATAAAATAACTAGCCGTATCAGCGACTTCGTCCGCATAGAATACTTGCAAGGTAATCTTAGAACATAGAAATATGGTGTCGCATATTTTTGTTGATAATTTAAAGAAAAATCATTCCTGCCAAAATATATTTTTGAGTATCCTGTCCGCAAAGATGATTTCCCCATTTTCTTCACATTTTCCTCTGCTTCTTTGCTCCTATTACAGCGCGATAGTTATAATTAGCTTATAGCCTTCCTCGAAAAATGTTCTAACATAAAAATATTTTTTTCAACTCCAAGCAGTAGTTTCTGAGATTAGCGCGTTCAAACAAACTCTTCAGCTTTATATATTAGTATAGATTAAAAAATGTTGGACTCTGTGTACAAATACCTACATGAATTGTTACGTATTAATAAAAGACTAACAAGAAAAGTATTAAAAAGTCCAGAACTTTGTTGTAAGATGGCAACTTTTCTGGAGAGGAAGTCTCGCGAGTGTCAACTTTTGACTTATCCCAATTTCGAGAGTCTTGATATTGGGACCACTTTACAACTTCTTTATTCTCGAAAATAATTGTAATATTTCTGTCTTAAAGCCAGATTTTACTTTAACTTTTTCACGGGTCGTTTGGTGTAATGCAATGTACGGCTAATAATCGACGGCGTGAGTTCGATCTCCACGGGGTCCGACATTTTTCTAATCTATTTATAATTTTTCTGAAACACGCTGGTCTTCGTCTGGATATGGGTGGTAGGGATATCGAAAATTCCGACAGGGTAACAAACCACTTTAATGACGAAATTAATCGCGTTTCGGTTACACTCTGTGAATTTCCGAATATCCAAAGTTAAAATAGGTCGGCAGGGCACCTTGTTTAGATGTATGTGTTATACAGTTAGGTGCTACCTTCTATCAAGTGAACGACATGCTTGTCTATCGTCCTTTTAAAAAAAAAAGGAAAATTCACATGAAATAATATTGACATTGTTATTATTTAACTAATGAATTACTAATAAGGCTTAAAACGCATACTACTTGTAAGTACGTTAGCAGAGCTTTATGTCACGCGATACTTAAGTACTTAGTATAATCAATAAACATAAAGCCATGTTTCTTGGATGGTCATATTTTTGTATCTCAAATAACTTCAAACATTATCAAAAAAGTATGATACACGAACAAAATATCTTATTATTTTCTTGATAATTTATAAAAGCATTGTAATTTGTTCGCAATAAGGTCGAGATTTCCTTAGCAAAAAGGCATTGTTGTAATGTAATTTATCACAGCCGAAATGCGTCTTACAACCAAGTAAGAAAGATATTTTGTTTTTATAAAGCTATAGCTATCTAAGGGAAATCAACATTTTCGTGTGGCATTAATACGTTTTTCGATATCGCGGAAACGTGTTTATAAATACACTTACAATAATCTTCTATTTGTTCTTAAGATAATTTGGTTTTAAGGAGTACATTTCACAAAACTGTCAACGTCAATATTTACAGACAGTTAAAGGAAAAAATTAAAGTTATCTTTTTTTTTAAATTTACATATACGTCGATTTAAATGATATGCAGTACTCCTGGTCACGAGGGGAATATATGTAAGAAATTACTAATATAGTAAAATTTACCAACTAAATCAACATTCTACGTGATTATGTATGATTTTTTCTCTAATACTATCATAAAAATAAACGTTATTGACGATCGTTTTTGGAGATTTTTTATCTATTTTAATTTCATTTAATAGACACAGTTTAGTTGCTTTCTTTTATTTTTTAAACATGATAATTATAATCACATTTAAAAACCGTTTTGTATTCTATACTCCTATACGCCATAGTTTTGCGTTGATCCATATATATTTTTTCCCCGAATAAGAATTGAGCTGTTGAAATACGTATGAAATAAATTCACGTTGCTGGTACGTGTATCCGATTTCAATTAAATAAATATAATTTCGTCATTCACTTATCATATTTCAATTATTTAATCACAATAATATAGGAATGTTATTCAGGAATTTAATTAAACGATCCACATCTAATTACGCACTTCGTCATCCATCAAGCTATAATCACCGAAATAGTACGAGTTTCCGTAAATCCGTTCAAGTGCTGAAGAAAAGCGATTTATCACCCACCAACGGACAGATCGAGGCCAATACGGCTTGATGAATTAAGGTTTATTATTTATTAACCATCTTATTAAGGTCTAGACACGGCAGAGAGAACACACACAAAACAGACAAGACCACCCCATGCTTCTCTACATCTAGAAGTTATCCACAGACAGAATGCGAAGCACGATTAAACTTGACCGCTTTTTCATCTGTGGACAGTGATATACCTACTAACGTCCAGATTTCCAGACGAAGTCCAACATGTTTCAAAAAAATTAGAAAAATGTTGGACTTGTTGGGGATAAACCCAGTGACCCGTTGACTATTAGCCGCACATTGCTACGATAATATCGACCGCGAGATAATGACGTATTCCAAATTTAATAAATAAAGATTTTAAATTGATTAAAAACGTGTTAATATTAAATACTGTCAATAGTTTACGCGAGCAGTACACATTTAAATAAAACACTTTAACGGTTTGAAACGCGATACATTAGTTAAACTTATTTGAAAATGATTTTTAACTTCGGCCCGACGTTTCGGATGCTTTGCAGCAGCCGTGGTCACGGGGAGACTAAAGATGGAGGATTATCAAAAAAAGAATCGCTAGCGCCATCTGTTCCGTCGAAGTTGGTATTTGGCGAAACTGGCCGGGTTCTTACTAACGGTGTCTTCGCGTTTGCCGGTATGCTGTTTCTTGGCACAAATTTTATATGGTCCCAGGTGTTTGATAATTGGGACATCCCTATTCAAATTCCTGGGGGTTTTTGATTTCCATCTTTAGTCTCCCCGTGACCACGGCTGCTGCAAAGCATCCGAAACATCGGGTCAAAGTTAAAAATCATTTTCAAATAAGTAACTAATATATCGCGTTTCAAACCGTTAAAGTGTTTCATTTAAACGTGTTAATATTGATTATGTGCCACATATTGCTTTTATACTATTTTGCCTTTTTTTACGAGGCCGTCGTAAAAATAATAGTTAAACTTCGACTTCGCAAATTGCCGCGAATGAGAAACAGCTCAGTGTCACTAAAGCTTTCCTCCTTCCGAACAACTTTAAAGCAATAAATAAAAGTAAGTTATCGGAGTTGGTACAATTTTATTGGCATAGCGTACATTTGGCTCGTTTGTACAGTTTTCTTTATATTTGGCAGGTAGACTGTAAGGAAATCTTGCCAAATAGGACATCGTACTAACTTACGACGGCAAAGATATATAAGTAATATATGTATTGCAAGACTATTTCTTAATTTTACACGTCGGTAGAGGAATTAATGAATTAAAAATCAGTACACATCAAATAAAACTTTTTTAACAGCTTTAATCACAAAATATATTAGTGCTTATAAGGCGTCTGAAGTCGGGTTGTATTAAATTTCGTGTTTTAAACGGCTAAAGTTTTTCTTAGATGTGTACCATTTATCTGGTTTATTACTTCATCCATTTATTACTTAAAGTTGAATATATAGAGCATTTGATCAATAAATATAATTTGTGCGTATTTTATTTAAAAAATTATTTCCAATTAAAAATCAATTTTAGAACGGCTGTTAAGTAAAACATCGCTTCATCAAAGTTAATGAAAACAAAGATATTGTTCCAACGCAATATTGTATCGAAGATGAATGAAAACCTGTTATACGATTTTAATATAAATCTCCTTTCAACGACGAATTTGCCCGTTATATCAAACTGGAATTCGTAAACCGATATATACTTCAAATATATGGCTTATAATTTTTAAATAAAATACATTAACGGTTCAAAACGCGATATATATTAGTCAAGCTTATTCGAAAATGATTTTAACTACGGCCCGACGTTTTGGATGCTTTAGAGCAGCCGTGGCCACAGGGAGACGCGTAGCTAAAATATATTTTTAAATAGTTTTACTAATATATATCACGTTTTAAACTGTTTTATTTAAATGTGTACTACTCGCATAAACTACAGGCAGTATTTACCTCTATTAGCATTGTCAATTCTGAAATATTGGCGTATGTTATGTGACAAGATTTTAGGATTTAGTTTTGTTTATTCTTAATTAGAAATACAGCTGGGTTTATAATAAAGTATGGACCAAGATATCCTACAGATGGCGTTTATTTTGAGAAAAATGTTCGACAAACAGCTACGCTAATATGAAATATATAGGGATATGCTGGGTCCCCAAAATATAACTCAAATATTATTTTAGAATAAAAAATGGATTTAATTTTTAAATAAAACTCTATGAGTCTATCTTCTGTGATCACGGCCACTGCAAAAGCATCCAGAACGTCGTAGTACAAAATAAATTTGGTAAATATTTATCAAAATAAATATATAGAATATTTCTTATAGTAAACAGTTAAAAGTCGGATAACCTCTTCTCGCTCACGTCGGCCGAACAGCCCGAAAGACAATGTTATGCTGAACGATGGCCGTGAAAGCCTTACACAATTTATTGAGTTTAAAGTAATAGCTATTTGAACCAAGCAATAGAACATTATAGTCCCCATATAAAACTTAGATCTGGTCTGTACTTTAAGCGAGTTGTACACATTTAAATAAAACACTTTTAATGTTTTAAAACACGAAATATATTAGTTAACTTGATTTTCAAGCAAAGCATTAAAAACGTCGGGGCGTGGTTAAAATAATTTGAAAATGGGTTTAAAGCGCTTTTACGCTTTACGCGTTGCGTTTTAAACCTTTACAAGTGTTTTATTAATTCTTAAATTTTCTTGATATAACATTTCTTCCAATTTACTCTACTTCTACTGAACTAAGTCTCAATATTAAGCAAAAAAAATGGAAGTATAAACGACAAACTCACCTAAAAACAACACTAGTATCTGCCTTATCTAAATGAACAGCATCCACTGACCACTTCAGCGCTACGCTACTTCTCCCTTCTAAGGTCCCACTCACTACCATGGCTGGCATAAATCTATGAAACCTCTTTCGAGTGGAGCGCACTATACGCGGCTTAAAATACACACTTTTCGTCCTAAAGTCACTTCCACTAGGCCACAAGTGCGCGCGAGTGTTCCTTTTCGGAATAAAATAAGGGGGGGCAAGGCACGGCTTTTCGTTGAAGCTGGTAGGAGTAAAGTTACCCCTGATGCTGTTGCCGACGATAGAGTGAAGAACATAGTCCCAGAGGGCGGGGGCGCTGAATTGAAGATGTACTGAAACAAAAAATTGATTTATGTTAGTCTAGGTTCAGATACAAATTTAATTTAAAGACAGATGTGTAGTTTAGACTTTTTTAAACAAAAACAGATAAACATGAAAAAAATGTATTAGTGTATATTAGTATTCACATCTATAAGAGATCGGCGCGCATGTCCAAAGGAGCGTTTTTGTTTTCTTAAAACTGTCTTCCTTGTCGAAATAACCAAGACTAACTAGTACACATTGAAATAAAACACCTTAAGCGATTTTAAATGCAAAATATATACGTTAACGTATTTACAATCTATTTTAACTACGCTTTAACATTTTGGATGCTTTTCAACCAACATGGTTACGGGGGGACAGTAGAGGCGTCCCTAATGTCAAATTCAAATCTGACTGCACTAGCGCCATCTGCTTCGGACCGTAGTTAAAATGAATTGTAAATAAGTTAAATAACATATTTCACGTTTCAATAAAAGCTGTTTATTTAGTACTTATCGAATTATTATTAAATACTGTCTGTAGTGTACGGGAGTAGTACACATTTAAATAAAACAATTTAATAGTTTAAAACGCGATATATTTTAGTTAAACTGGTTTGAAAGACGCCCTTATGACCGCGGTACGAAAGCATCTCAAACTGTGTCTCCCCATAACCACGGCTGCTGCAAAGCAACCGAAACGTCCGGCCGTAGTTAAAAATAAATTTCAAGCCAGTTTAACTAAAATATATCGTGTTTAAAACCGTCAGTTTTTTATTTAAAAGGTTTATTAAATATTTTAATGCATCAATTGTCAACATAATGAAAACGAATGTATTAAAATTGATAAACTCAGTATTAGCCTGTATGTAACTATAGAAAAGTATTACTACTGGCTTTGACCGCTTCTTAATTTTTTCTCAATATATGTATTAGTTGAAAAAGGGTAGTTCCATAGTTACCCGAACATCGCTAAGCACAAATATTCCGACATTGAGTTATTCCGATGATCCCCTAATAAAAACGATGAAATCTCAAAAATTTGCCCAACCTTTATCTATATCATTGTACATCACTTTAGGCAATACGTCAAGATCCCAATATAAGGTGGACATTTTGCCGCTGGCAACCCATATCCTCTAACGGAAATTGGTTCGGTCGGACAGTTTTAGGGCACACCCATGTCTGATCGAAGTGTGGATGCTAGATGCGAGTAAACAGAATTATTATTTTTTACCATTAACTTGATGGGAGGTGAAATAAATCAGCCTATAGCGTTAAACAAAGTGCCATGTCGACCTATTTTGGCTTTCGATATTCCGAAATCCACAATTTTTTCATGTGAGTGGTACGTGACACGGACGGAATTTCGATATTAATACCACCCATGTAATATCCAGATTTCTAGACTTTCACCGGATCGCTGTGGATGTCGATTCAAGTTCCGCCTTTGAAGTAATTATTTTTTCAATCTAAAATCGATTTTTAATTTATAATAAGTTTTAGACTAAAACACTTTAACGGTTTAAAACGCGATCTAAACCGCTACAGTGTTTAAATGTAATACTTGCGTAAATTACAGACAGTATTAAGTTTCAGACTCTTTAGACATTTATTTCTTTAATATTGCACGAAATGAATGCCAAATAAAGACATTTATTATCATAATTAACTAAACATTTAAATTATTTTCACTGGACATGTGACGCCAATTCTAAATATAAGAAAATTAATCTATTTCGTAAGCTCAATAAATTAAAACTTGTCTTCAGTTAGTGGAACTGGAGACCTAATTAAAACGGGAATCTATCACTTTCCGTGATAATAATTTACACGGAATAGCAATAACTCAACGCTTCTCTTTCGCGAAGGTTTTTATACAAATTAAGCAAGGAAGGTTTATGAATTTAATTAATGTTTTTTTAATGTATATTTTATTGATTGGAGGTTTGCCTTAATTAGTACTAAGTATGTGCTTAGAAGTAGGTACACAACTCCAACGTTGGGTGTGAAATTAATCAGACAAATTTTAGGTATTTCATTCCCAGAAACATATACTATATGAAGTCACTAGCTGCTGATTTGGGGCATCAAAATGTATATTTCCAACCCTCTATCATCTTTATAAATTATTACAGTTCCAACTACCCGTACCCACGACGACACGTCGTTTTTACGAGTAAATCTCAAAAAATAGATATATACTATTGAAAACTTTATTCATTTTTACATGTTATGCACATGAAGGCACTATATAATTTAAGGTTTGAGCCACAATTGAGCTAGGTCAGCACGGAACGCTGACGATGCCGGTTCAAGTCCTGCCCGAGTCGAAAATTTTTACAATTTATTTCTATTTTTAAAATTATATAGATATATACTGTCGCGGACATTTTTTTACGTCATTTAAGGAAGAATCATTTCTTAATACAAAGTTGTTGGGTATCTTGAACCGTTGTCGCAGCGCACGCAACAGATACCCTCAAAGATGAATATTTTTTCCCGTTTTTTCTATGTTTCTCTAATGTTTTTTGTCTCCTATTGGTCACACCCTGATATTTAATAACCTAAAGGTGTCCAACCAATACAGAAAGATTTTTTTCAATTCGAACCAGTAGTTCCTGAGATTAGCGCGTTCAAACAAACAAACTTAAACATTATAATATTAGCACAAATCAGCATCATCTCCGTCTTTGTTTTAGTGGTCGATTTTAATTAAGACAAAAGTTGGCTCTTCTGTGTCTTTCCGACTGGTACTATTATGGTAAGGTCAAACCTTTAAGATTTTGCGCTCAACATAATCCTAGGTAACGCGTTTGAGAACTAAGCAACATAATAAAAAAATTGCTTGTAATTAAAAAATAATTATAATTTACGGACTAATTAATTTAAAAAAAAATTAAGTCCGTAAACTATGAACATTAAAATGCTTTATCGGCATACATAAAGATTACAACATGCATTTAAACTGCATGTTTATTTTAAGTATTTTATGTAAGTTTGAAATTAACACTTATACGGAGTTTAAAGCTACTAAAAAAGTTCAGATTAGCAGGACAAAAAATTCTATACTCATTTCTTCAATACATTTTATTAGTGAAATGGACACAATTATGTGTCCGCCATGTAGGGATAACGGGATTTCAAACGTAGCTTGTTTCAGATTTTTGCACACTCGGCTCGTCGCTTCGCGTATTTAACGAGAAAGCAGACGACCTGATGGACAAAATACTTGTCAACGTTTACACAGCTAGGTCTCGATTACACTACCCTGTACAAAAACCGATAGCTGTAATGATTAAGCAAACGAACTCGACTACCAGGACACCATTGCCCATGGCGACACGACATAAAACAGTGGAAAAGAATGGAAGAATCACTAAAGAGCATTTCCTTCAGAAAATGGAGCAGACAAAAATAAATTCGATTGTAATGTCTGGGAATAACCCGTCACCCAACTTCGAAATCGATGAATTAGATGTACAGACAAGGAGATTTGATGTCATGCGCAACAAAACGCTAGAGACAGACAACACTTTGAGAGAACATTACTTCGACAAAGAATACGGTCCAGTTGCGTACAAGCACAAATGGAAAACCGTCCGTTTGATGGAACAGTTCATCTACGAGACAAGGTACAAGCTGCCTTTCGTCCAACTCCTCAGGAAGAAGTACATCCTGCAGCCAAGGTATAGAATAGGTTTTTGCTTCGCTCTACTAAATTATTTGAGGCAACAGCAGATATTATTATATGCAGCGTTGAAGAGAAACATGAATGCTTGGATTAATCTTTCTGCGCATTTGAAGGTTTATGAAAAGATTATAAGATTAGATGTGGATATCCGTGATTTGATAGCGTATATTAAGAAGATTAATTGGGATAGAATGCAAAAGGAGGAACCGTACTATTTTGATAGCGTCAAGGACTTACAACAGTAACTTTAGAACCGTGGAGATTAAGAGGACACAACCGAAATATAGCCCCGGATATAGAGATATTTAAATATCACAGGTTATATGTGGCATTGAATTAAGTTATACGTGGCCTACGCTTATTAAAAATAAACCTGTTTCCCCACAAACAGATATATTTTGTGCCTGTTTCCTTGATTGGTTATTCATTTTTTTATTTTTTTTCCAGGGATTCAAACCCAGGTGCCTCCTGGCTTGTCGCAAGGTAGTTTTTTAATTTTTACTCGTATGAGTATTTGGTAAACAATCTTAAGTATTCAAATGGAGTTCAAATATGTTTTTTCTCTGATGGTTGAGCCACTATATAATAAGCCATAAATCGTACTTCAAAGGGCGTTTTATGCGAGCGCGCAACGTCATTGAATTGTTCTTTCGCGCTGATATTTTAAATTTATTAATAAAAAACCTCTTTGATAAAAGAAACATTTCATCATCACATTAAGCGTTTAAAACCGTTAAAGGTATTTTATTTCAACGTGTATTACTCACGTAGACTATCTAGACAGTGTGTATATTAAATAGTGAAAAATGATTCAACAATATATTAATTATTTGAAATTAATATATTCTTGTACAATATTAATAATTAATTATATATAATATAATAGTAATTTTATGTAATAAATAGGCAATATAAGTCCCTCCGTCTACAAAAATCTTTATTTTTCTCATACAGATGGAAACAACTAGAGAAGATTCTACTTATATTGTATTTAATGTTGTAATTATATTGTAACGTGATCAATAGGTACAAACATACAAAACTCGTTTCTACACGAGAAAAAAATGTCTCTCGCATACTCTTTATACAAAGTTAGTAAAAAGCTATCCACTTTGCATTCGCATTGTGCCGGATGCGAAAACTATTGAAAAAGCGGCAACTATCTATTTGTAATGTACCAGAAAACTTGTCAGTGCGGCCGGAAAAAACATGGACAATGGCTCTACATCAAATGTTTTTTCATACATGTTCATTTATTCAGTGTTGGCAACACTCCAAATAGTCTGGCAACACCAAAGTGCAGTTCGAATTTTAAATAGCGCTATCTTTGTAACGATGTTTTGAATTTTAAGCGTTGCAAGCGCACTAATTAGTGCTTAAGGAGGTCGTAAAAATTATATTTAGTGTTACTTGCGAGTTGGGGCATTTCAAGCTGGTATACATACACTATACAGCATATGCTACGATGAAGCTTAAAATAAGAGAATGGTTTATTTGTTCTTGTTAACTCCCGTGGTTCAACAGTTAGATACATAGGTATGCTCCGAGTTGAACGAGAGAGGACCAGGATTCAATACTCCATATATTATAAGATTATACATTTTAAAAGTTATTTACTGTAGGTAAAAACACTATACACGATGTTGTATAGTGTTTTTTTTTGTTCAATAACAGTAGCTGTCCTTGTTGTAAAAAAATATATATAATATATATTATTTCTGTATATATATAGTATTCGTTCTAAGTATTTATTAGTACGATACAGGGCAGACTAACAAAATGATTGATGGAAAGTAGAATTTAATAACCAATCAATTAAGTCTATTTGCATGTTAAAGTTGACTAGTTGTTTATTTTTGTACCTTAAATGAGAGGGGCTTAACAATTTTTGTTATCTTTACAGCGACGGTGATTATCAAAATATTTTTATCAGAACATTTTCACGCGTTTATATTTTTGGGCACGCACTTGGTTAGAGGAAATGGGGAAGTGGGGAGAGGTGGTGCAGATGGAAATTTTCAAACTACCTTAAAACTTTTTCCAATATCGAAAGAAACAAAAAAGTATGTCAATAACATTTTTATTAGAAATTAAACGCTGAAGAGCAAAATGTTATTAGATGCGTAAGCGCAACTCATGCTTTCTCGTTATGAAGTCGAATCAAATATCCAAAGAAACTAATAACAACAAAATTTACAAACCTATTTCGTAACGACAGCAAACATCTTACGTTTAAGAATCTATAATTATAAAATTGTTATTGAGATAAAATACGACAAAGTTTATTCTGTATGTCTGTCTGCATACGTTAATCTATCGAAATCTTTCATTTTGTTTTTAACTCGGTATAACATTTAGGACTTGTGTTTCTATATCAGGGTATGGAATATCAGCGATTTACGATTACGACGACGAAAGATTTTCTTTTTATATTCTAGGGTAGACCTACTTCTCCTACTGTAATAATTATGTATACAATCAAAAGTATCAGATAGCGAATTTTCCGTACGTTAATAAGAAATCTATATCTATACTACTTTGTAAAGCTAAAGAGTTTGTTTGTTTGAACGCGCTAATCTCAGGAACTACGGGTTCGAATTGAATAAAATAGTTGTGTTGGTTAGAGCGTTTATCGAGGAAGGCTATAAAACATCGCGCTGTGACTAATAGAAGCGAAGATGTGAACAGGAAACGAGAACAAAACGGGGAAAACGCTGTGGGTTTCAGGTGCGTATGCTGCAAAAACGGTTCAAGACACCCAATACATATATGCAAAAAAATGATTCCAGTATAAATGATCTAAAAAAATGTCCGTAACACTATATCTCTCTCTTTTAAGATGTACTTGCAAGAACGACTGGAAGGGACGCGACATCGGTCGCGTTAACGGCCGGTTAACCGGCCGGACCCGACCGCGGGTAACAGATTAAATTTATAAGGATACCAGCATTCGCAGACACCCTGTCTGCAAAAACAAATTTGAATGCAGAAACAACTATTATACGCGGACGAAGTCGCTGTCACAGCTAGTATAATATAAAAAAAAAATGCTTCAACTTCGCTTCAGCGCATGCATTGAGCCATGTTTCTCAAACCTCTAACTCCATTAGTAATACCATAATAATTGATAAGGGAATTTATTCCACAACGAGCCGTTAAGAAGTTTTTTACGAGCGAAGCGTGTTAAATGCGTTTGGTTTATTTTAATAATTACTTATTATTGGGTTACAGAATACATAAGAACAATAGTCGGAAATATGAATTTATATTATTAATTAAAATTTTACGTCAATACTTATAGAATATAGATTAGAATATATGAGGTTAGGTTAGAGAGTGAGTAGCGTAATAATAAAAAAGAAGATTTTCAATAACGAGCAAAATAAATATGCAATTAACTTAGCGAAAATTATAGCGAAAATTAATTGGTACTATTAATTGTGTAAGAATTATGTAAATAATTTTCGGTAATTGTGCTCTAAAAACATTTTCAGACTATAAAAATATAAATAACTTAAGTTATAAAATTGCAGTTAGGCTACTTTGCCTCCAGCGGCCTTTTTTGTTCATTAGTCCAACGATAACAATGTATGTAATAATCAAGGAATTTGATTCTCAGTAGGTTCATAGAGTAAATAAATTTGTATTTTTTCTGAATGATGTTCGATTTCATTATGAAGAGCTGGGTATTAAACGGACGATTGGAATCGTATTCCGGAGCTCCGGCCTCAGATGGAAAAGCTGGAAAGCTGGAAAATCGCGTTACGGTCCAAAGCAGGTTGACAACATCTCTTTCGAAAATTTTAATATTTTTCACATGTTATTGCGCATGATGGCGTCTATTAATTAGAAATAGATAATTAATTGAAATTTATATATATATATTTATTTATTTTTGCTTTTAGAATTTAGAGCACGGAATTCTGTAGATGCCGGTTCAGGGCCTGCTCGAGTCGTACATTTTTTCATTTAAATGTAAATGTAATTTCGTTTTTAATTTATATAGCGTATTTCACCTTTCACCAAGTGAACCCATGTCTGTCCGTCCTCGTTCGTCATAAAAAATAATATATCCAATCCAAGAGAAATAGTATTCAATGAAGATCGCTTGCAAGCGACAAGGCCGACCTACCTTTTTTTCAATTGTTTCCTTTTAAACAAAGGCATATTTAAATAAAAAAAAACACTTTAACGGTTTAAACGCGAGATATTACTTAAAGTTGTAACGATATTTAATTGCGTATCCACGTTACCACGGCTTCTTCAAACATTCGAAACATCGGTCTTAAGTTAAAAAAATAATATATTTCGCGTTGCAAACCGTTAAACTTTATTTAAATGTGCACTACGTTTGTTTTGAAATAAAACACGTTTTACGCGCATTAATGGCCGTATATAACATATGGTAATTCCTGTTAGTGCTAGTCTGCTAAGTTGGCTGTTTGCTCAGGTAAGTTACGGAGTTTTGGTATGCGCATGAATTATTGCGCATCGTCAGTTTCCGTTTGATTCATGTTCAAATTCGCATTTAACTTTCCACAGAGTACGGAACGTTTAATGTATATACAAGACATACATATTAGCTGTGCCAACGACTTTGTACGCGTAGAATAGAGATTTTGGGCATGAAGATTTATTTTTGCAAAAAACCACGCATGACGTCGTCCGCGTGCCGTTGTTCTTGCAAGTTAATCTTAAAAGAGAGAAATATTGTCGCCGATTTTTTTTTTACATCGTTTAGTGAAAAATATTTTTTCACTCATATTTTTTCGGTTGCTTGAAGCGCTACGGAATCCCTTTGTTTCTTCGGTTTAAGGCTAAAAACATCTGGCTGGAAACATACATCCTCGATAAATGGTCAAACCAACGCAAAATCAAATTGAAAACAGCAGTTCCTGAGATTAGCGTGTTCAAACAAAGAAACAAACTCATCAGCTTTATAATATGAGTATAGATAATAAATCATCTAAAACAAGCTAAAATCACCTCAACTGCAAATCTCGAGGTCCTGAATTTGATTCCCGGTCAATAGTAATTTGTCTCTCCGTTCTATCATGTGAGCGTTGCTAGAGAATGAAGACCATCATGGAAGGGGGTTTTGTGAAGCTGTGATCACCCAAAAAGAAAAAAGGAGGGTGTCTGAGAGAGAATGAGCCTCAGTCTCTTTCGATGCGTAGGCGAAGAACCGGGAGGGCCTTTGCGTAGCATCATCAAGGATACTACTGTCTATAGTTTACGCGAGTAG